TTTACAGATTTTTTTAATTATAATTATTACTCCGTGGAGTAACCCGGAGCAACCCGGAGTAACCCGCGGAGTATTAAACTTGTACATTTAATTCGGGTTGGGTTGGGTTGACCCTTGCTCCACTATAATATGAACCCAACCCAACCCGTTATGTTTCATTAACAACCCTATGTGTAACTAATCTAATGTAATGTGTTCTAAGCCGAAAAAGGTCATTAGTCGGCCGATTTTTTAAAAATCGGTTAAATCGATACCATTATAGGATAATTTTTTAATTTTTTTGACCGATTAAAAAATGGAAAAGTAGCACGAGATGCTTTATCAATTGAAAGTTACAATGTAGTACGCAAATTTTATTTGATGCTTTAATTTTTTTTTTTATCGAAACTTAGATAAGCTAAGAAAAATCTAGACTGATTTATGTTATGTTATAATGGTCCTACTGTTTGAAAAATAGAATATATTTGATTATTTAGTATTAGTATTAGTTTAAAATAATTGAATAATTTAATATTAATTTTCGGGATTTGACGTAATAATTTAATATTAATTTTCGGCATTTTGACATAATAAATGAAAATAATGAAAACTACTCAATTGAGTAAACGACGAAGCCAGTATTAAACATTCCGATTTATGATCTTCAATATAAAGTTCTTGAAGTGAAATAAATTGTTCAATTGGTGATGATTTCTCCGTGAAACTATTAAAATTTACTGATAGTAAACGAAGACTCTTCAATGTTTCTTTTTGACTAAAGACAATCCAAAATATTGAATCATTTTTTAGATAAAATTTACTAACAATTGATAGATTTTCTAACGGTTTTTGAACACTAATGGGTTTCTCAAATAATTCCATTTAGGAACGGAATCCATAAAATAACTCCACATTTAAATATTATTACAAATTGATGTTAATGATTTATATAATGGTTTAATCAGTAGTTTATCATTTTTTCTTATTGTCAAAGTAAAGCTTTCTAATTCCTTAAATACTTTCGGAGAATCAGGTGAGAATTGAGCCAATTGAATAATTAAAATTAAGATAATTTTTAGAAATATTTTGGATACTTTCGTTATTTTAAAAGAATCCACAAATTTGCAACGATTTATTATTAATTTGCATAGCTCAAAATAAGATTCTCGATTTGGTGATAGTGACTTCGTAACCATCATATCACCTTGATCTGGATCAATTATTTGTTGTGGACTAATCTGTGGTGAATGAATGAAAATAAAATAAACTAAATTATTAATTATAAATTTATCAGTAAATGACGAATAATTAAAAATGGCTTGAGGTGATGATGATGATAAATCAAATCCATTTTTAATAAGTAAAGTTCTAGCTTGAGTATCCATACACGATATATAAGTTCGAATACATAATGTTGTCTTCCTCAACTTATAATCTGTATCTGTTTCTGTACAATATTCTTGACCGAAAGGTAATTCCCAAAGTATAGGTACAATAACTTTACACCAGATTCGGCTAACTAATAATGATGAATATAAATCTTGAGTTGAAACAGATGATTGAACATTATTTAAAATTTAATTAATATTTCTGTGGGAACTTTAGACGCCATCTCTTCTTTTGTGTCGAAGAAAAAAAATATAAATAGAAAATATAAAAAAATAATCGTATCACATTTATTTAAAATTATGTGTAACTACTCTGATTTAATGGTTACCAAAATGATAAACATAAATACACAAAATACGCATCAACACAAAAAATAAATCGCTTACCAAAATCTTAAAATGATGGGAAGAAATAAAGTTCATGAAGAATATTAAATAAATGAATTATAAATTTAATCTCTATAAATATTTTATTTTATTTAAGCCATCTGTTTTACAAAAATATAAAATCAACAAAATAAATCTTCTATAAAATTAAATATAAATCCAAAATTTTTTTTTTAGATTAAGGACTATTTAAATTATTCAATAAAGATAATTAAATGAGTTTAATTATGATTATTATTGCACCTAATAAATACATTGTCTTGATATTCAATTAAGTTTTTTTTCAATAATTAATAATTCAAATAATTCAATAAATATTCCTAAGAATTATAATGTTGAATATTCTTTTTTATAGCATATAAAATAGAGTTGATCTTTAATTGATTTAAATGATTACTTTTTATAAATTAATTCTCATCTAAGATCGACACCTTTTGTCAATCGTTTTATAGTGAATTCAGGGATTACTAAAAAAGCTTTTTACATCTTGCTTGTGTACTAAACTTCCACCCTTAATATAATATAATAACAAAGCCCCATAAAAACATCAGTCTTATTTCACCAGACGTACTTGTTGAAAAACTTCATTATAGTCATTATGGTCATTATGGTCCATATTCCCGATATTGGTGGCTACCTTTATACAGCAGAACATACATTGAAGGATATTTGTAAAAAAATTGATAATACATCTTTCTTCCCTTCATCAATCCATGTTGGCTTGAAAACGGTGTCAAACCTTAATTAGAAAGTTTTAGTTTATCAAAAATATGATCCACTCAATAATTTCATTACACCACTTATATCCAGTATTATATAGTTGAATCCCTCACATTTACTGGAATTAATAAAAAATAATGTCGTTTATTAAATAATTAAACATCGATCTTACTTACTGCCTAAGTAAGATATGAATTCGATAAATGAATGATTGATTAATATTTGTTGATGAACTACTTCAAGTTTTTTACCCTCCTTATCATTGTGACTTCGCTGATTGAAAGTATTTGGGTAGTCGTAAAGGGTGAAGTAGCAAATCGGGTCCACATTCAGATCTCTTGGCGTTAGAAATATACTTTTGTGCATCGTTAGTTGGTGGCAAAAGGCACTCGAAAGAGCAAATGTTTATAAAGAATCTGAGATGATTCATGGATATTTAGTGCTGATAGTTTAAGAAATTTATTGAAGGGTGGTGTCGTAAAGGAAGAGGAGGAAATAAAAAATATAGAAGATTACGTATAAGATTCTCATGCTTACTAATTTGGGGACGAGTAGTATCACCACTTACATTGGGTGATGACATTTTAAAGTTATTGAAGAATATGGAATTCAATTTGATAAAGAATATATATTTAATAACAATATTTCTAATAATATTTTAGACATAATAGCGAATAAGAAAATATACTTGTTTTCCTTTTGTGTTATGTATTTTCAGTTAATTTGTCAAATTGAACATAAGAAATATTGAAAATATTAGAAAAAATACATTGTATTAAATTTATATAATAAATTTGTTACAATTTATGCTAAAGCTCACCTGTAGTAATTGTCATCACCAGGCAAAATTTTAAATTTGATTCAACAATTTAATGGAATAGACAAGAATTAGTATTTTAGTAGCTTAAATTTTTGATTGCCATTGCATGTTTTATCATTTAGAAATACTAAATAATGATTGATTAATTAAACAAACAAAAAAGATTAATTCATTTACAATTATTATCAATTACTGCTTATGATCAAATTAGTACAAATACTTTAACTGACCCACAGGACTAAGTTTTGGATAAGTAATTACAAGTTATAATTTATAATGATATTGTATAATGATATATTGATGACAATAATAATTGAAGGTATAATTTTAGTAATTATAATTTTAAAAAATAATGAAACAAAATTTGCCCGATCGTTTCTTTTATATTCAATTTAATATTTTAATTATTCAATTCAAAAGTGAAAATAATAAATAACATTGTAATAATAATCTCTGTGCTTTCAATTTTAAAAAACATAAATATTATATATTGTACAAATGAATAACTTTTAGTAATAATATCTATAAACATTTAAACGTTAGATATATTTTGATAAAGCGTATTGATATTTATTTATAGTAAAATTTGAAATTAGAATATAAAAAAAAAAAAAGAAAAACATGTTTTATATCATCAACGCAATCAATTGAAAAATAATAAAACTTTTTACACCTCACTCGTCACCAAATATCTCTTTCCAACTCTCGCCTTGGAACTCGGTTCACTAAATACAATATCACCATAATATTTAAAAAATATAATTATATAAATTAATCAATTATTAATTATTATAAAAAAAATTTTTTTTCCTATTTTATTTTTGTTAGAAAGAAATTTCTTGGGTAGTTGAAACCCACCATCATATTCTCCTTCTCACTATTAACGGCTTCTTGTTTCTTAAAACTCGACTTTTCCACCTTCTTCACCAGAACCAGAAAAGGAATTATCTTTGTATTTTTGGTGATTTTTTTGTATTTCACATTGGGATTATTTTAAAATTTTTCTTGATAAAAAGGTCTATATCTATAGTACATTTTACGGTTTAATCAATTTTTTTCTTTGACGATCACCAATTAAAGGTCTCTTTATTATTTTTGAAATATGTCTAATCAACCAACGCGTAAAAAAATTAAATAAAATTACATTTTTAATTCATCATTTGATATCAAATAATCATTATCCATGAGATTTATGAGTTGACATCTTTGGTATAAAATAACTTTTTCTTTTTAAAGCTTGCTTAGCCCACATACCAAACATTTAATCACGCAAAAGAGATGAACTTGCAACATATTTGTAGTACTTAATGATCATTGTATTTATTATTTATTTATTATTTATTTATTATTTTTTTTTTCGTTATTTGTTTTTAGTTTATTTGTTTTTATAAAGTCAAAATATGGAATATATGGAATAAAAAAATGGAACTTTAATTTGGTTACAAATTTAGTTTAAAAATATGAATGATTTTTATCACATTATTAATTGATTTATATATGGGATGGTTATTTAAATTTATCTACTCTATTATCTATGTATGTCATTATTTGCTAAAAATATAATTCTTAAAAATATTTACTGAATTATAACTTATTGAAAAAAACTATAATTATCTTAACTATCTTTATTAAAATTTTTTTTTAATTTTTAATATAAAAATGATGAGATATAAACTATTTATTTATTATAAATGAAGTAAAAATTTATAGAAAACTTTTAATTATAAAAAATACGCTTTATAGCATCACAAAATTCGTATTGTAGAAGAAAGTGCAAAATTTGTACATATTCACTTTAAAATCCGCATTTTGATATTATTAAAAAAATTTTACAATAATAATTATGAAACTTAAAGTAGAAAATTTATGTTTTTTTAATTTAATAATATTTAAAAATTAATTTTAATTGGTTGAAATTTACTGCTCCACTAGTAATATTGACTCGTGGATAATCAATTAAATTTAATGCTATTTTAATTTCGACGAATCTTTTTTATTTCAAATCTTATTCCATTTTTTTTATTTTTGGATTTCCATTCAAAACCTTTTTATGATTGAATATCTATGCGTTTTATATAGTATTTGTGTGTTTGTGTTACATTACATCAAAGTGGTATACAAATGTGATACAATTCTTTTTTTTATTTATCTCTTAAATTTCCATTTTTTCTTCGATATAAAAAAAAGATGGCAAATAAAGTTCCCACAGAAATATTAATTAAAATTTTAAATAATCTTCAATCATCATCTAAATCAACTCGAGATTTATATTCATCATTATTAGTTAATCGAATCTGGTGTAAAGTTACTATACCTATACTTTGGGAACTACCTTTTGGTCAAAATTGTAGTACAAAAACAGATACAGATTATAAGAAGTTGAATAAGAAAGCATTGTGTATTCGAACTTATATATCATGTATGGATACTCAAGTTAGAAATTTACTTATTCAAAAAGGATTTGATTTATCTTCATCACCATCTCAAGCCACTTTTGATTATCCATCATTCACTCATAAATTTATAATTAATAATTTAGTTTATTTTATTTCAATATATTCACAACAAATTATTGTTTCAGATCAAGATAATAACAATAGTAAGGATGTTGATAAGGAATTTGTCACCACCGTATCGAGAATATTATTTCATGAGATATGCAAATTAATAATAAATCGATGTACATTTTTGGATTACTTTAAATTGGCGACAGTTCCTCTTCATTCCCCATTTTATTATTTTAATTATAAAGATTTAATTTGTTCAATTCTCGAGTTACCTGGTGCCCCAAAAGTATTTAAGAAGCTAGAAAGTTTTACTTCGAAGATAAGATCTGATGATAATCTGATTGGATCATTATATGAATCGTTAACATTAATTTGTGATAACATTTTAAATATGAATTTATATTTTAAGTCAATTCCTCAAGATCAATTGATAAAACTTATTAGTGTTCAAAAACGGCTAGAAAATTTATCAATTAATGGTGATTATCGGCTATTGACCAATTCATTATTTTTTGAGGCTATCATTAGTAAAAAAGAAACATTAAAGAATCTTCGTTTAAAGAAATTAAATTTTTCTTATTTCAGGGAAAAATTGTCATTAAATGGACAATTTATTTTACTTCAAAAACTTTATATTAAGAATTGTTACGAATTGCAAGAATCAGATTGCTTAATATTGGCTTCATCATTTACTCAATTGAGTAGTTTTTATTATTTTCATCCGAGAGGTTATAGCAGTTATCCTCGAGAATTTATTATAGAAATTCTCAAAACGGCAAATACAAATTTAAGAAATATTTTTCTGGACGTATATTCTCTAATTA